CCCCCCCCCCCCCTTCCCCCTCCCGCGCACCCTCTCCCTCCCTCCCTCCCGCCCCCTCCTCGTTGCCTTCCAGCCAGAAGGGCCGGGATGACTCGGACTGGCTTGCTTTGGCTTGGCCGAGCCGGGCAGGCGGCCAGAAGGACCCCAAGCGCGGAGAGCCTCCGGGCGGCCGCAGCGCTCGTATGAATGCGGGGGAAGAGAGGACGCGAGAAGAGCAGAGCCGGGAGACCACCTGGCCGTTCACTCTCCTCCGACCCCGGCATTCACGGCGCCCGACCTCCGCGCTGCCCTCGGAGAGGGAGGGACTCAGGCCGCCGGGACTGGGCTGGCCGGGCGCGTTCCCCCCCGGGGCGGCCTCCCTCGCAGCTCCGCTCCCAACCCCGCCGGGGCCGCCCCTTCACCGGCAGCTCGTACCTGCCCGCCGCACAAAGGCTCGTCCTCCTCGGCCTGCCTCGCTGATGGCCGGCTCCCTGCGACCGCCGCCTCTGCTCTTGCTGCCAAAGGAGAGCCTGGATGCGGAGCCTCCTCCTTCTCCGGCTGCCTCTCTTGGTGCTGCTGCTGCTCCTGCTCCTGCTGCCGCCACCTCAAGCGCCGCAGAGCACACGGGCGTGATGTCACTCCGGGAGTCGTGGTCACCCGCTGGCCGAGGAGGGAGGGACGGAGGGCGCTGCCGGTGCGTCACTGCATGCACAATATACAGATGCTCCGAGCATGCGTGGAAGCGAAGCCTCCCCCGTGGGCTCGTGATAACGCGCGCCATCGGGCTTTCCGGGAACAGAGCGTGATGGCTGGCACAGGGAGGCGGACCCCACCCCGCCGCTTTCCGCACCCCTTCGACNCGGGGGGGGGGGAGATTGCAAAGGCAGCTCGTGGTCAGATCACGAGGAGGACGGGACATCCCCGCTCTCACACAAGTGCAATCTCTCTCTGCTTTGCTGCTAGGCATTGATTTTTTTAAAATTAAATTTAAAGTGATCTGAAAAATTCTTCTCAAAGTGTCTTATAATGACTGTTAAAAGTAACTTCTAGAGATGACTGTTAAATACTGCTTGTTACACCTAGAAGTAACTTTGTAGCTACTTGGTGCCTTGCTTTATTTGTGCCTACTTGTTACATTACTCGTTGTTGTTGTGCTTTGAAATTGTATCTGACTTCCAGCAACCTTGATAGAGCTTTCAAGATGTTTAAGGAGTGGCTTCACCATTTCCACACACCCCAGTGGGCTGCCCGTGATTGAGTGGGCATTCGAACCCAGGCGTCCTGAGTCCTCGTCTGTCACTCTATCCACTACTACACCACACTGGCTATCCATTACTTGCTACCTAAAAGCCATTAGCTAGAGGTAGCCACTTTACTTTTAAGTAACTAATTTCAAGCTCTGATCTGGGATGTGAGAGCTGTTTTGTCCACCATGCTAAGTCACTACACCCGTGCAGCAGATACATCACAGTGTGTGTACTATAACAGCTGACTCTTCAGAGAAAAAAGTCAACGTTTTTGGAAATGCTTTCACCAGCTTGTAGAAAGGATGCTGGGCAGGGAAGAGAGCAGGAACTGCTCAGCTTTCCAAGTGTTGCTGGAGTGTTCTCTCCCCTCATCCCCTGTTATGTTGCCTAGGGATGATGGGAGTTGCTGCACACTGGTTCCTTTTCCATCAGTCAGGGAATAGGCAGCTGCTCTTCTCTCTCCTCCCTTCCCACCTCCAGCAAGCGCTTACGTTGCTCCTTGTGTTTACCTGGGATCTTGGCATGTTTGGTTCTCCCTCTGGTGGTTCTTGGGAAGTACTGCATTTCGGAGCACAATTGTGTTGCGGGGTGGATGCCAGCTGTTCTATTTGGAGAACAGTGCTTGAAAAAGACTTCTGGGAAGCAGATGGTTATAGATGATGCTGAGCACTTGGGTGTTTTAAAGTCTGATACTGTTGTGGGAATTGAAAACATGCTTTGTTGAAGCAGCTCGGTTATGAGGATGTTTTGAGCTCTACCTTTCCTGGGCAAGATAAAGAGGGAGGATATATAGGGGGTTACCCTTAAAACACACAGACACATACTTTATCTTGATCAGGAGATATATATCGTGGGCGAGATAAAGGGTATGGTTGTGGGTGTATATACCTGCAGCTGAAATTAGTTATCCATTGTATGGTATTACAATAATAAATATAGATAGATAGATGGACGTAGAAAAGCAAAAGTATTGTGGCATTTGAAACAACTCTCCTTCTCCCCATCCTTCATTAGTAATGGACAACCTCTTTGATACAAAATTCTAACTAAATTGTAGGGTATTAGATAAGATATAGCTGCTATGAGGTGGTTTTTGGTTGTGAGAACTGCCTGAAAGGCATGGTTTTTTTATTATTATTATTAAATTGGACTAAAGATTCCTGGAATAACAAAGCATTCTTGTATGTACATTTCTTTTGACCACCACTTGGGTATGTTACCAAAGTATGGGAACTGAAAAACTTCATACTATCTGCAAATGTGTGGAATGTAACTGTTGTTAGTGGGTAGTTTAGAAAAGCAAACTAGAAAAGAGGGGGTGCTTAACCTCTCCCCCACCTACCATTTCTGTGGTCCAAACCATGTCTTTCTGTCTCTCCCTTATGTGCCCATATACTGCTTTTGCTGTGACTGGGTTACAAATGTATTCTGCCTTAACAAAAGTGGAGTAATGGGGGCTTTGCCTCGGGGCACTACCATGTAGAAGAGAATCGATTGATGAGTATTATGAAAACAAATGGAACACCTCTTTGCCCTGTTCACCTCCCTTTTATTTGAAAGCGTGAACCCCTCTTTCTTCTTGTGGAGACACCCCATTATTTTCCTCAGTTTTCTTGGGAGGTATTAGGCCCAAGCACCAGGGTGGAGTGTTTGGGAGATGGTGCCAAAATGACTAGATATGTCTCTGCAAATGTATGACAGTCTCAAAAAACAGTAATAGAAAGCATTGTCCACATACTGCCCAGTTACCCCCTAGGCATGCCTCTCAGTCTTTCGCTCTGGAGAAATTTCCTACAGTTGGGGGACAGATTCGAAGCCTGGCTCTGTTTATGTAGGAGTATAGATCTAGAGGCATATCTTCTTTATATCTTTAAGGCCTGTGACATCTTGACCAATCTAGCCTAAAACCAGAGATTTCTCTAATCTTGCTTGCTGAAAGGATGCTGGATATTTCTGCCAAAGCACATGTGCCCTACCGAATGTTCATGTCAAAGGGCACTTTAAATGGAAAGTTGCGGCATTTGGAGAAGATTCTATAGGCCAGATCCATAGAAGGCAGTCGTGTAAATGTCCCCCTTGCTTTGGCAGGTCTCCATCATATAACTAATGCTGTGAAGAGTTGTGGGATAGATATTGCAACCAGCATGAGACCGGACACCTGAAAGGGAGGCTGTTGGAGCAGAGGAGGCAGGGCTTACACCACAAATGGCCTTCTGCTCCTAACCAGATACTAGTTTATATCTTCCTGAAAATATCTTCTGTTAACACTTCCTGCAGACGCTGCTGTCCTGAATAGAAGATGATGAAGAAACTGGGACATTTCCTGTAGAACTACTGAACTTAAGAATCGTTGCTGCTGCTGCTGCTGAAACTAATTAGGACTATTAGGCAAGGTGCTCCTCCTAATGGTTGGTTTAATTAAAGATGATTTGGCCACCAAGTTTCTTGCTCTGTCAGTCAATTTATATTCGTCTGATTGCACAAACTCAGGTATCTGTAGCCTGAAAGCTGGCTCAGTTATTCCAGGCTTGTAGCTAAAAAAAATGGAACCATGGAAAAGTGGTTACTGTCCATCTCTCTAATGCCATCTGAATAAAACTGGTCAAAATTTAACTCCTTGTTTCCCAAGTCCATGTTCCCCAAGTGCTGTGTGTTTATCTCACAGAGTGCAAAAGAATGGCTGAAATTCTGTTGCTTAGCATAGCAAGTCACATCTAGAGTAGACCCATTTGAATCAATGGAACTTACAGAGGAGGTGACTCACCAAATCCCCACTTCAGCTGGTAGAATACAAGCTCTGTAATACAATTCCCAGTCAGGAAGACCAAAGCCACCCCTCTGCTTAGCATCTTGCATAGCCTTAATTTTAATTCTTGGTTTTTTACCTTGCCATATAAATCTCATAATTATCTTATTTATTTATCTTATCTTCTTTAAAAAATGACTGCTTTAACATGATAGGAATTGACTGAAATAAAAATAAGATTTTTGGCAAGATAGTCATTTTAATCGCCGCAATTCTTCCCAACAACGATAATTGTAATTTATCCCATTTCTCCAAATTGTTCTGTATCTCCTTCATTAGTTTCATGTAGTTATCCTTGAATAATGTGCCTGTCTTCTTTGTGATTTGTATTCCTAAATATCGAATTTTCTTCTCCTCTTGGAAGTTCGTCTTCTCTATTAACTTTTGTCGTTCCTGTTCTCTCATGTTCTTGGTAAGTAGTTTAGTCTTCTTTTGGTTTATTTTCATTCCTGCCATGTCTCCAAAGTTTTTTAGTGTTGTCATTAAGTCTTCTATTGAATCCAATGGTTCTTCCAGTATAATAACTAGATCATCCGCAAAGGCCTGGAGTTTGTAAACTTGACCTTTCACTTTTAATCCTTTCAATTCCTTTTTACTTCTAATTTGTTCGTTAAGTATTTCCAGAGTCAGAATAAATAGAAGTGGAGAGAGTGGAACCTACATGACAGTTGGGGGACAGATTCGAAGCCTGGCTCTGTTTATGTAGGAGTATAGATCCAGAGGCATATCTTCTTTATAAGGCCTGTGACATCTTGACCAGTCTAGCCTAAAACCAGAGATTTCTCTAATCTTGCTTGCTGAAAGGATGCTGGATATTTCTGCCAAAGCACATGTGCCCTACCGAATGTTCATGTCAAAGGACGCTTTCAATGGGAAGTTGCGGCATTTGGGGAAGATTCTATAGGCCGTATCCATAGAAGGCAGCCGTGTAAATGTCCCCCTTGCTTTGGCAGGTCTCCATCATATAACTAATGCTGTGAAGAGTTGTGGGAGAGATATTGCAACCAGCGTGAGACCGGACACCTGAAAGGGAGGCTGTTGGAGCAGAGGAGGCAGGGCTTACACCACAAATGGCCTTCTGCTCCTAACCAGATACTAGTTTATATCTTCCTGAAAATATCTTCTGTTAACACTTCCTGCAGACGCTGCTGTCCTGAATAGAAGATGATGAAGAAACTGGGACATTTCCTGTAGAACTACTGAACTTAAGAATCGTTGCTGCTGCTGCTGCTGAAACTAATTAGGACTTCCTGCAGACGCTGCTTTCCTGAATAGAAGATGATCAAGAAACTGGGACATTTCCTGTAGAACTACTGAACTTAAGAATCGTTGCTACTGCTGCTGAAACTAATTAGGGCTATTAGGCAAGGTGCTCCTCCTAATGGTTGGTTTAATTAAAGATGATTTGGCCACCAAGTTTCTTGCTCTGTCAGTCAATTTATATTCGTCTGATTGCACAAACTCAGGTATCTGTAGCCTGAAAGCTGGCTCAGTTATTCCAGGCTTGTAGCTAAAAAAAATGGAACCATGGAAAAGTGGTTACTGTCCATCTCTCTAATGCCATCTGAATAAAACTGGTCAAAATTTAACTCCTTGTTTCCCAAGTCCATGTTCCCCAAGTGCTGTGTGTTTATCTCACAGAGTGCA